GACAGAATGCCAGCAGGGAGGAGGGACAGCTGCCAGGTTAAAGGTTGGGGTGAGCATCAGGAGCATCCATTCATTAATTCTCATAAGTTATATTTTTTGAGCACCTACCATGTTCCAGGCCCTATCCTAGATGCCGGGGACACAGCACCCAAGACAGACAAAAGCTCTCTGTCCTCATGAAGCTTATGGTAAACATTTCCAAGAGTGCTTTGAGAATAAAATAGCAATAATGGCACCTAAAAGCCACATTAACTGAAGTGATTGAGGAAGGCCATAGTAAGGGAAGGAGGCCTAATTCAGTGCTATTTGTAATAATAACAGTAACAACAACTCCTCTTCATTGAGTGCTGCCTTAGTTATCTAGTGCTGCTATAACAGAAATACCCCAAGTGGATGGATTTAACAAAAACAAATTTATTCTCTCACAGTTTAGTAGGCTAGAAGTCCAAATTCAGGGAATCAGCTCCAGGGGAAGGCTTTCTCTCTCTATCAGCTCTGGAGGAGGGTCCTTGTCATCCATCTTCCCCCTGGTCTAGGAGCTTCTCAGCGCAGGGACCCCAAGTCCAAAGGACACACTCTGCACTACTTTCCTGGTGGTATGAGGTCCCCCTGTCTCTTTGCTCTCTTCTCTCTTTTATATCTCACAAGAGACTACCTTAAAACACAGCCTAATCTTGTAGATTGAGTCCTTCCTCACTAACATAACTGCCTCTAATCCTGCCTCATTAACATCATAGAGGTAGGATTTACAACACATAGGAAAATCATATCACATGACAAAATGGTGGACAATCACACAATACTGGAAATCATGGCCTAGCCAAGTTGACACATATTTTTGGGGGACATAGTTCAATCCATGACAAGTGCCTCTTTAAGCAGGCACTATGCTAACCTCTTTATCTGCATTATTTCATTTCCTCCTCACAATAACCTTATGAGATGCTTTCATTATTCCCATTTTACAGAGCCAAAGACTGAGGCTCAGTGAGAGAAAGTCACTTCCCCAAGGACACACAGGTCATGAGGGGCAGGGCTGGGATGCGGCCCAGATCTGCTGGACTCTCAAACTAGCACTCCATAATTTAGCGCACAGTACACGTGGCAGGGTGGTGGGGAGATAGCTTGTGGTGTCTCAGGGGTCTTTACAGGAAGCAGTAGAAGCCAGAGAAAGTACACGGGAAGACAGGAACATCTGATCTCCCAGTTGCAGGTCTGGGGGGAGGCAGGGGTCAGACGTGGGCAGGGAGTGGGATGAGTGTGACCCTCAGTCCCACCCAGCCAAATCCCACCTACCATAGAGCAGGTAGCCAGAAGTACCAGCCACAGTCTGTGGGTGAAGGGAGCAAGGGACCCACTGACCCTCACCTTGGTCCACTCTTGCCAGGGCAGCTGGTGGCCTAGCATGGAGGGGTCAAGGCCTCACCTGTGTGCTTGGCTGGGTTAGAGGGAAACAGTGTGTTGGCCCATAAGGCTCCTTAGCAAAATCAACCTCACTCTGGGAAACTTCCTAGAGGGCTTTCTTTCTCACCTGGACACCCTCAGCAGTGCTGCTGGCTCTCCACCTGCACAGGAGCAGGGAACAGGAGTGGGGTGAAGTGGGGTCTGCCCACAGGGGCACAGTTGACGCTTACAGAGCAGGAATCAACGCAGATGGCCTGTACCTAGAGGGAGTTATACAGGCCAGAGCACAGATGATCAGGGGCAAGTTTGGCCAAGCCCCTCCTTTATTCATGGCCCCACCCACTCCTGCCCTACCCCTGAGCTACTGGAGTCCCACTCAGAGGCATTTGCATGGGTCCAAGGCTCCGTTGGCAGGAGGAACACACGCAGACTGAGCATCCTGGAGCTCATTTGAGCAAGGCGAAGTCAGGAATCAGAACCATGGGGGCCACAGGGACAGGCAGGGCTGTGGGCACATACACATCCCAGTCACCTCCTCTTCCTGACTGCCCAGCTCCTACAGCCAGAGAGGCAGATGCCAGCGGCACCATCCCCAATGCCACCATGCACCAAGGCAAGGTGACGATCTGGGGATCTGCCTGGTACACGCAGGGGAGTAGAGGCACACATTCAGGGACTCAGACACTGTGTCTCTGTAGTGCAAGGGATCACTTTTATGTGGCCTTTCTCACCATAGTCTTGTAACTCAATAGTTACAAGTCCCACCCGATACTTGGGACTAGGCGAATAAGGTAATTGTGGCCCACAAATGGGATTGGTCAGTTTTGCCATCCCACTAGGCTTAAAAGAGAGCCAATTCCAGGCAAAGAGAGGATCTCACCACTACCAAGGAAGAACAACCAGGAGTGGAGCATATCCTTTGGATCCAGGATCCCTGTGCTGAGAAGCTCCCGGAACCTGAAAAGAGAGAGAGAGCTGTAACACTGAAGACGGTGAGGAACGGTGACAGAAACAGCAGCAGGAGAGACCGGCAGGAGACAGTGCGGTGGGCTTCCTGGCACACGGAGTGAGAAAACTAAGTGCCTGTGGGCAGGAGGCTTGCTAGCAGAGTAGGGTGCCTCCGGGAACTTGGTGGAATTAGGTTTGCTGACACACGGAGCTAGAGCTGAGTGCCCTGCAGGCTGAGGCTTACTGGCAGAGTGGGGTGCCTCAGGACACTTACCGGCAAAGCTAAAAAAGCTTTGTAACACTTGCCTGAGCAGGGCAGAGGCAGAGAGAAGCAGTGGGAAGAGGCTGTCCCAATGGAAGAACTGTATCCTTGAGCATTCCTGAATCTGAATTGTAATGTGTTACTCTCCTAATAAACCCGATAACTGTGAGTGTTGTCTGTGAGTTCTGTGTGGCCATTGCAATGACTTATCGAACCCAGCAGAGAAGTAGAGTGCTGTGGGAGGAAAGGTTTGTGTCAAAATTGGTAAAGATGGCAGAGAAAGGAGGCATGTCTGACCTCCGCCTCATAGGAAGCAGCCTGGGGCCACTAATCTTGATTCTCCTCTCCCTTTCTGAAATTAGAGGAGATCAGATTCTGCCCCCACACCATTTTTACAGTCTCTCACACACCGGGTCACACATTTGGGGTACAGCCAGCCTTGGGTAGGTACTGGGGATCAGACACATAGTCACAGACACAGAGATACACACGGAGTGCTACAAACAAAAACAGTCACAGCCCCACGCTGTGGTCAGATATACAGTCATACACAGGAGTCTCAGAGACACATTATTGTCACAAACATACACCAGGCCACACACAGATGGCTGGACAGAGTTACAGAATCACTGAGATACACTGACAATCAGGATAATCACAGATACACACTGTGTCATATATGCCAATAGCTGGGAACAATCACACACATACAAGTCAAGGACACACAGAGTGTCACAAACACAGAAACACACACCAGTGGTTGGACACACAACCACACATGGAGTCCCACAACATCAGAGAGTGTCCCAGACTTTGGCATCATCAGACCAGTTACACCATTGCTGGAACACAATCAAAATCACATATATCAAAGACACGGTGTGCCACACGGAGACTCACACAGTCACAGACACTCTTAGTTAGACATATAATCACACACAGAGAGATAGATTTGGGGTATCACACACAGTCACGTGCACTCCGCATGCATACAGTGCGTACAGTGTCACAAATACAGTCATCGACACACTGGTGTTCAGACAGGCAATAACACACATATTAAGGCACAGGAAGAATCACAGAAACTTTGACACACATACTGCCATCCCCTCACACTTGTGGGGCAATCCCCCCTCCCCACACACACACAGAGTCACACACACCCAGAAGGTGGTACAATAACAGGCACACATGCAGCTACTGACACATGAACATGCAAGAAGCCACACACACTCTGACACGATGTCACACACGCACCAATCAATGCCCAGACTGGCCTGGCTCACACTGACACACACAGGGACCACCCCTGACCCACACTCACATAGCTGCACACACACCTACACACCTTTGCTCGAGTTTGGAGACACAGCAAAATGCACAAAACCCACACGCACACTACCACTCCAACACCACGGTGACACTCCTCCTCCCACAGTCCCAGGACACAATCATGAATGCACACAGCCTCACAGGACCCTCAGCCCTCAGTGAGGGTGGCCCAAGGATCAAACCAGATTCCTTCTTCCCAGTGGAGGGAAGGGACGGGGGAGCAAAGGAAGGCTGAGGGTGAATCCTCATGATAACAGCGTTGCTGTTGTGTGCCACTTAGTTGATTCCGACACATAGCCACCCTATAGGACAGAGAAGAACTAGCCCATAGGGTTTCCAAAGAGCAGCTGATGGATTTGAACCCCCAACCTTTTGGTTAGCAGCCTGAGCTCTTAACCACTATGCCACCAGGGCTCCATGATAACAATAGCAAACACTTTATACGCCTGTTCTGCATAGATTAATTCAATAAAACCTCAAAAACCCTATCAGGTTGAATATAATTGCCCCCATTTCACAGGTGAGACAATCAAGGTACACATAGGTTAAGCGAAGTACAGATGGGTTAAGCACTAGCCCAGAGTCAGAGCGATTAGCAGAGCCTGTCTCCTCCACTACAGTCAGCGCTGTGATACTGTAGTTTTGTTTACTGCTGTATCCTCAGAGCCTAGAACTGTGCCTGGCACACAGTGAGCGCTCAATAGATATTTGCTGAGCGAATGAAGGAATTCACTTTCCTTCCAGCTTTGATAATTCAACTCCGCGTCTCAGGTGGGAAAACAGGGGCCTTGGGCTAGGATCACAGGCCCCGAAGTCCAGCCTCCCAGCCTGGAACCGGCCCAATCTCTCCTTTCCCAGCCATACATCACGATTGCCAAGTAGGGGGTGCGGCTTCCCTAGTTAAGGGCGGGGTCTGGCTCATTATGAGGCGGGACCAAGGCCATTCAGCCTTCTTATTGGTGAGCCTACTGTTGTAGGCGGGACATCTCCAAACTGGTCTTGACGATTTGCTGCCGCCTCGGGGCAGCGGGGGAGGGGGCGACCCGGAAGCTCTTCTGGCCAATATGGCGGCCCCCAGCTGCAAGACAGAGCCGGTCCGGAGGCTGCGGCCGGCCTCTTGAGGAGGTAGGTCGCGCGTGGAAGGGAGAGCGCGAGCTCCTGGGCTCCGGAGTGGTCCAGGAGCGCGGGAGGGCGGCCCCACAGGGACCCAGCTGCAGGGCCAGAGCGCCATGACCTTTTGGGGTGCGGGACGGGGACGTGGAGGAAAGCGCTCCCGTAGCTTCATATTCCTCATCTCCCATTTTGCAGATGAGACAACTGAGACTCAAAGAGGTTAAGGCCCTCGTCCGAGATCACGCTGCAAGTCAGTAGCAGGCGGGGATTCGAACCCGGGTCTGCCGGTTTTTCCCGAGGGTCGCAGAATCTTGGCAGCCGGCCGCAGAGCTGCTGTACGTACCCAGCCACGGGGTTCAGATTTATAGAAGTTTTGTAGAAATTTAGACCTTATTCTCTTTCGGTTGATAGTTGTTGGGCAACTGCCATTACCAGGCACTGCCCCAAGTGCTGGGGAGACAGAAATGAACAAGACAGACAAACATTATCGCTTTCCTGGGGGAACTGGACATTGAACAAGTAGAAATAAACGAAACACTTGATTTAAGATGCTGATCATTGCTGAAAATGCATTAATCTTGGTGATGGGGGCTTTTAGATTTTTTCTGAATAGAGATCTGAATGACCAGAGACACAGCCATGGGGAGGTCTGGGGAGAGTTCTTTCCAAACAGGGAAAATCAAGTGCAAAGGCCCTGAGGCAAATAAAACTTGGCTTGTTTAAGAAACAGTGTAGCTGGAGGGGTAGGCCCTGTAGGGTTTTATCTTAACTGTGGTATACAGTGGATCCCTGGTGGCTTAGGGGTTAAGAGCCTGGCTGCTAACCAAAAGGTCAGCAGTACGAATCCACTAGCCGCTCCTTGGAAACCCTATGGGGCAGTTCTGCTCTGTCCTATAGGGTTGCTGTGAGTCGCAATCTACTGGACAGCAACAGGTTTTGGTTTTGGGTTTCCCTGATTTTAGGCAGAGAGCACTGAAATTAGTTCACATTTTAAAAAGCTTCTTGTAATCACATTGGCAAGAACTGACTGAAAGCAGATAAAGGTAGAGGTGGAAGACGCTGGGTAGGTGTCCAGGGAGAGGTGATGGATTGGGGTGGTGGCCTGTGAATGGAGAGAAATGGATGCCTTTGGAATCGATTTGGAAATAGTCACCAGGACTAATTGATAGATTGAATGGGGGAGTGAGGGACATAGCGAACTCAGAGCTGATTCCTAGGTTTGTGGCCTGAGTAACTAGGAATGGTGGTGCCATTGGCTGGGATGGGGAGGAACAAGTTTAAGCAGCGATGCCAGTTTAGTGCAAGTTAAGTTTGAGATGGCTGGGTGCACATCAAAGTGGCAGTTAGGTATTGAGGCTGGAGCTCTGGGCTGGTGTGGGAGATAAACATTTGAGAGCTATCAGTGCATAGATCAACACTTACTAGACTTGAAAACACACAAGAGATGCCTGGGGCTCTTGTTAAAATGCAGATTCTGATTTAGCAGGTGGTCTGGATTAGGGCCAAGATTTTGCATTTCTAATAAGCTCCCAAGTTATGCTGAAGCTACTAATCCCAGAAACACACTTTGAATAGCAAGGGTTTAGAGCAGTGGTTCTTAACCTTAACTGCATATTAGAGTCATTAGTATGCTTTAAAAATCTGATGCCTGGATCAAAAAAAAAAAAATTATCTATGTGAGATCAAATTGACAACAGCAACTCAAAAGGTTTGATGGGAAGCCTAGGGGGCAGTAAGTTGAAGATAATGGTGATGGAAGAATTTGGAAAAGGATAGTGAGGATAGCAGCACAACTGGAAGAATGTAATCCGTTTCACTGAACTGTACATGTAGAAAATGGTGAAACATTGGCTATGTATATTTTCACCAAAAAAAAAAAAAAA